TTTAACCGCTTCAGCAGGGTAGGCAGCAACTTCTGGGCGCAGGGGAGGGAAAGCCCCCCCCTTACCCCCCGGCAGCCCTGCACGCCTGCGGCCCCTCACGGGGCTTGCATCCCCATCGTCGTCAGCCCCCGCTTGGCTAAAGCATCCCACGGAGCGCCGTGGTGAGGCACGGCAATGCGCTCGCTGCGGGAGCGCCTCTGTGAGTCCTCCAGCAAGGGAGAGGGGAAAGGGAGCCCCTTGCAATGCATGTCCGAAAAGCTCTCCATGCCCCCCCCCAGCTCCCTCCGCCAGCCCCCGGCCGCCAGGAGAAGCCACGCTCTGCTCCCAGGCGCTTGCCTTTGTTGCTCCTTTCTGTTTGCAGCCAGGCAAAAGGAGAGGTGATCACAGCTCATTACGGCTAAATGACACTTGTCAAAATAAACTCACAGCAGGTGCCTGTGTGCTTTATTTTCTTTTCTCCCTCTTTTCTTTTTATTCTTTACACCATTGTATTTGCTTGCTTCCTGCTTCACAGAAGTCAAACAAGCTTAGGAAAGGGGTGTGAACTGCCAGGGATCCCTGGAGCTAGCAATTGCGACAGTGGCACCAGCTGCAAGAGAGCGCTGGGAGGGCAGGGCAGGATCTGTGACACTTCCCAGGTCCACGAGGAACCGGTATCCTCACCGCCTTTCACAGACAAGGAAACTGAGTCAGGTAGATGTCAGCCAGGGCCCATTCTTACATAGCACGGAGCTCTGGCACTGACAGGTGAATGTAAGAGGTACTTACTGCCATGCAGAAGACATTGACCACCTCGCAGAAAGGGACTCTCCATGACCTGGCTCTTGTGACATGACAAGTCAAGCTGCAAAGCAGAGAGTAATTGCCCCAGCCAGAACACTGCACCCCCGTCCGGTTCTTTGCCTGTCGGGGCAACAGATGTCCAGCTGTGACCTTGATGTCACTGGCATCTCTAGGCACACTAAAGACATTCTCCAGCTTCAGGAACCCATGCTCACGGTTGGGTTTGAGAACTTATCACGTTTCTGCTCTCCCCATGTGAAAGGGAGGAAAATTTAGGGCAAGCCCCTTTTGCAGGATGAAGAGCCTTAGAAGTAGCCTCAAGCGTTTCCATCTGTGTTATCTCCCTGGGGAATCTCCCCTCTTTTCTTGACTCAAGTCCAGGATTTATTCCTGGGAGCTGTTGTGCAGCTGACGGAGTCAGTGCTGTTCAGGATCCACTCCCCAGAAGACAGCTTCATATATGTGCTCCTCAGTAAGGTGGGGTGGACGAGGGACGGGATCATTTCGGAGTTTTGCGACTGAAGCACCGAGGGGCCAATGTGAGCAACATGCTCAAAATGAGTCAAGTCAGACTAGAAGTAAAGTGCTGTGTAATTTGGATAAACTCAATGGTGTAGAACTGTGTGGGGCAAGTGAGACTGTAAACAACAGGACATATTATCCTCGTTGGGGTTACATGCTTTAATTCTAGCATGGAGGTACTGCAGATTAAGACCAGCAAGAATTGGCCGAAAAAAGGGAAATCACATGATTATAGCTATATTGTTCTGAAAAAGCACGTCTAGAGCTCTAGAGCAGGGATAAACACGTTATTATGTCGTCTGCCTGCCCTCCAAGCACTGCTGCCCTATGGGACAGTTTACGCAGACGTCACTCATGGCACACCGTTACTGAGTGTGCTTGTACGCACAAGGTCCTGTGCGCTCTCGAGCTGCTGCCTGGCCCTGCAGCCATGCTTGCAGACTCCTGGTACAGGCTGGTGAGTTTAGTACTTAAGACAGGTCTCAGCAGACATGTGGACCTAACTACCAATAACTTCTTTCTCGTTTTGAGCTCCTGAATGTGTTTAATTACTGACAATCAATGACATCAAACCCACTTTTGTTTTTGCTCTGCTTTGCCAGCTGTTTCTAGATCAGCAATTATTATATAGGTCACTTTAGTTTCAGGGCAACACACGCTTTAACGCAGCATACGATACCATCTGGGCTCGAAGAAAATTGGTCCAAACCACTTGGCTGAAATCTGGCTATACAGAGGGTAAAGACTATCAGGGGATCTCCCTATTGAGACACCACTTTCTGTTGTTAAAGCAATTACAGAGGTAAATGTTACGCAACATACTCTGCCAAATTCAGCTTTACTTTGAATTACCTTCCAGGTAACCTGTAATCCAAAGTTACTTGAGACAGAAAATGCATGTTTGACACCAGCTTCAAGACTTTTATTGCAATAGAGAACAAGATATGATACGGAAAGATTAATCAATGCCTGTATTCTTGCAGCACTCAGCAGCTTCCTTACTGACTTCCACCAAAACCACCAAAGCTGCAGCTATGGAAAATGCTGCCTGATCCACTCCTCCTCGTGAGCACCCATTCTCCTGTAATTCACACATAAGCCACTGAATAATACAAACGTCGTCATGGAACAATGGTGAAAACATGTGCCTCTGGTGTGATTAAGCTGCCTTATATGCACAGGCTCACTGGAGCGTCTTCTGTTTTGTTTCCATCAAGACAGGATAGTGTTTGCTCCAGTTCGGCAGCGCGTGATTTTAGTCATCATGCTCTTATTGCCAAATCCCAAACCTCAAGTTCACCGCAAGCACTGGAGATAAATTTACCTAATACGTGGTCCCCTTTGACACACACCATGTATAGTATGCTCTTGCTTCTGGCAACTGTGATTCTGGCAAGATTCTGGTGGCTTCAAAATTCCTGTGAATAATGCTAAGGATATACAGTATATATTCAAAAATTTGTCTTCCCCTAGAGCTTAATACACATCCTTGTTCAGACTCCCTGGCTCTCTGTCGTGTCGATGGCTCTGGGTTGGGCCTATGATGCTATTTGTGCCATTCAGTAATGGACTGGAGGGCTCAGGAAAAGGCTTGTAAGAGCACAGAGGCCCTGACAGCTTTGCTGCGTGAGCAATATGCAGTCACAAAGGTCTTAACGATAACGCACAATCATCAGAATCGTGTGTGCACACACACTAGGAATGATCCATTTCTGCAGGCTAAAAAGGTTATCGTGATCTGAGGGCTGCTGGCGCGAACATAGACATTGCTGTTACAGAAGGAAAGCCGGAGGAAAGAGGGTGGGCTCCGTGCTCTGCTTATTGAAGAGAGATGGGGACAAGCAGGGATGTGTACATAAACAAAGCAAGAAAGTGTGTTTTGCTTCAGGGTTCTCAACTGTAGTGCCACCCTGGACTTCATTTCCACACCTCCTGCACAGTCCTCAGGTGACCTGGAACGGTCTCATGAGATAGAGGCAGCCCAGCTCCATCACCACTTAATATTGGCTGGGGCATTGCAGGTCTGAATTCAAACCTTGGGAACAAACCCTGGGCTCCCACTGAGTGTCGCAGGTGTCGAATATACATACAAAGTTCAGGGCTAAGAGTACGCCTGAAGAAAAATCATCCCGAACAACTGAAGACACACTCAGAAAGCCTAATTGATCCATTTTGTATATTTGTGAACAAAATGTGAAACA